TGCATACAGCACTTTGAAATTCGGTTCTGCACTCTTATAATACTACTTTTCATTTATAGATTTATTAGATTATTAGATTTACTATGACGCTGAGTTGGAGTCGGCACAGGTGTTAAAAGAGCAGACTAAGAAATCGGATAGATGGATAGTTGTTGAATTATGATTGGCGAATCGATAGGGGAGTGAGGATGATTGAAGAGATTGCATGAGATGGCTGAAATTTGCATTAAAAAAAAAAAAAAAAAAAAAACCAAAATAAACTCAAATTCATGAAATAAATAAATGGAGCAATACAATTTAGATTTTTACCGTACAAGACAAAAAAGGCTTTATTTTATGTTTTATTTAAAAGAAACTTGTACTATTAATAACAGTTATGAAATTTGTGTGCTCTATTTCATGATCAAATGGCATATCACATAGAATATTTCAAGAGCTAAATGCCAAAACTAGCTTAAAGAGCGTGTGATATAGGCTTATGTTCTCTATCTATACGAATAAATAAAATTGAATAATTGAGTTGAAAAATAATCATATACAGAGTATTATAGCCTATTGTTGCCTAAGAATTGTCTGTCAGTATTAAATGAACAGTTATTTTCAAAGATTATCATACAGAAATACAAAATCTATTTTTAGATAACTCGATTTTAATCTCGAGATCTATTGCATACCTAGAAAAAAAATTCCGGCATTATAGTTCATATATAATAACTGTATTCCAGACATTTATTTTACTCAACTATCTAATCTCAATTGCCTGTCAAATTTGACATGAGGATAAATGATACGGTCTTGACAGCTGAGAAAAAGCTGCTGTCAAGAGAAAACTTGACTTGCAGAAGAGGATTAGCCAAGAGACTACACAGCGGGAAGAATTGAATAATTCCCCGGGGAGAGCCAGCATAGACTAAGCCAAGTTGACAACTTGTTGGAGGACAGTGTGGGTGAAGGCGCCTTAAGCGGCGCAGGCTTCATTAGGCGCTTGCCAACACTCAAATAAAGCCCCAGAGGTCAAGCGGATGATTCATTAATGCAATTAGCAGTCAAACCAATGCCTCCAATTTTGCGAATTTCTCTTTGCAGACAGCCGAAACCGCAACAGCAGCAGCACGAGGGCGTGGCAAGAAGAAGGCGGAAGGGAATTGGAGGCGCGCCTCCAAATGCTCATTGAAATTTACGATTATGCTGCGAAATTATTAAACAATATGACCGCAACAACAGCAAGCATCATTAATAATCTAGCCAGCGGGGCGGAAGGAACAGCTGGAGTGGAGGGAGCGGAGCGAACGGAGAGTCCAAGTCCCACGATGGCCACAAATCTAACGTCCAAACTGCTGCAGGCGACAACGGGCAACATGAAGACGCTGCTGAATCGCACGCTGGCCACAATGGGCGGCCAGCGTGGCACATTGACCACCCTGCTGCTCCAGGGCGGCCTCGGCACGGACTTGGCCAGCGGGCAGCGAATCCGGCAGCTGGCCCATGCCAATGGCAGCGTGCATGCCACGGGCAACGACAGCGACAGCCATGGCCAGGATATGTACAATGCATTTAATGTGACGTCGCCGTCGCCGTCGTTGTCGTCGTCCTCAGCGCACTCAGTCGGCTTCATCGAATCCTCGACCACGGCCGCCAGCACAGTGCTGAGCAGCGCCATCACCAATCTGCCAACGACGAGTGGCCCGGCCACCACGTTCCCAACCCAGACGATGGCCACCATCATCGCGGCCGGCAACAAGAATCGAGCCACCACCATTATCCTCTATCCAACGGGTGAGTTCCAAATCACAGTTCAGTTACAGTTTGCCCTAATGGCTATATAATGTTTGTTGCCTGAACGAGCAGATAGAGAGAGAGAGAGAGAGAGAGAGAGAGAGAGAGTTGTGAATGGCCTTTCACACATGATGTGCATAAATTGCTGATGGAGTAATTCAAGCTCTAGATAACTCCAAATTCAATCGGTATATACTGAAAACTTGACATGTATTATGCAAATGGGAGCGTTTGGATTTGTAGGATGAGATCAGAATAGTAAACGGTTATATT